CCATCTGGAATATCGTCTGCAGTTCTGGTTGCCACACCTCAGAGAAGATCCAAGGGAGCTGGAGAAGAGTCGGAGGAGGGCGACTCAGAGGATGAAAGGGCTGAAGCACCTTCCCTGTGGGGAAAAGTTGGGGCATTTGGGGCTCTTTAGCCTCGGGAGGGGACCTGACTGAGGTGTACAAAACCACGCATGGTGTGGATCAAGTGGACAAGGAGAAGCTTCTTCCCCCTTCCCCAAAGACTAGAACCAGAGGTCACCCAATTAAACTGAATCCTGGAAGAACCAGGACAGACAAAAGGAAATACTGTTTTACACCATGCACAATTCAGTTTTGGCATTCGCTACCATGAGGGCGCTGGATACCAGCTGGGCTGCTCCAAAAGAAGGTTGGACCAATTCATGGAGATCCTGGGGATCCATTGCTCTTAGCCGTCATGGCAGTGTGTCTGGCTCTGAAGGCCATCTGCTGGGAGGCCAGTGGGCTTCCTGGTGCGGGTGGTGGGCCACTGGGGGAACAGACTGCTGGACTAGAGGAACCAGGGGTCCGATCCAGCAGCGCACTGCTGAGGTTCTTCTGTCCTCCACTTTGAGAGACTCAGGACTGCGCCATGAGTCTTCTGGGCCTCCCACCGCCCTGGTTGGTCTCCTTCCTCCTTCCTCCACCAGGGGGAGCTCTGGCTGCTCTCTGGGTCTCAGAGGCTGGAGGGGACCTGGAACAGATTTGGGGAGACCCTCCCGGGAGCAGGGGCAGAACAAGCAAAGCTCTCATGTCTGCCTGGGGGCGGGGGTAAGAGAAGGGCAGAAGAAGTGGGGCAGCAGGTAAGGAAAGAAAGGAAAATGGCTTGCAGCCTTCCCCTAAATAAGACTCCTTTAAACAGAATCTTGTGCCCCCAAAGATGTCACAACGGGGGGCAGCCAAGGAAGGGCTCCCCCCCTTAAGGGCAGCCCCACCAAGAGGGCAGTGCACCACGGCTGAGAAACCACGGCAGTCCAAACAGCTCAGGAAGGGCCCCAAGATGGGGAGGATGCTGGAAGTGGTCCTGTGCCTCCCCCAAGAGTCCCAACCCCACTTGGTATCCCTGGCCTCTTCTTCCAACTAGAGGAAGAGAAGAAGCTCCTGGCCTTTGGGCCCCACTCGCCCCTTCAAAAAGGGGGTGCCAGAAATGCTTCTCCTTGGATGGGATGAGCCTGGTGGGAATCTGGTCTCCCCAGGTGAATCTGCACTCGATCCCTCATTTCTCTGGGGTGGAAACAGACAGAAGGACAAGGACCAGCTTCCACAAAGATCTTCTTAGGACCCACCTGCTTTTGGGGAGGGAGACCTGTTATTCCCTTCCTCCCCCACAGCAAGTGGGGGGCTCCATCAAAGCCAGGTTCTCCTTCTTTCCTGGGAGAGAGTCAGGGGAGGGGAAATTTTGATCCATTCTTTACCTCATTTTATATCACTCCTGTGATATATAATATTTTTTTTTACTTTAAAAATATTTTTAGTAACTGTCATTATATTAATTTTTTTAAAGCAATGAAAATACTTTTAAAGTAACCTTTTTAAAAAGTGTGAAAGCAGCCTTTCCCATGGGAGGGACCCCCTTTCTCCCCCTCCTGCTCCTGGGGAGGAATGTGGGGCAGGAGGAGCCACCCGACCCATCACTCACCTTCGCTCAGATTGTAGAGAGTCCTCAGAGTCTCCAGGCGTGCTCTGAACACCTCCTCGGTGCCACGCGCTATCTGGGTCTGAGCGTCCCAAAACTGGGGGTCCTCCTTCCCCACCTTTTCCATCCAGGAGACTCGAGGCTGAAGCATCCTGCTGTTGCTGTCATAGTAAACGAAGACTTGATCGTCCACGTACCCCACAGCGACAAGGTGGGGCAGCCCCTGTGTGGGGTCTGACATGGAGGTGAGGAAATACTTGAGGGAGTGCGAGGAGGAGCCTGGAACAGACCCAGAGGGGCAGAGTTAGGGGGCCTCAGCTGAGGGATCCTGATGCTATGGGGCACAGCAGGCCCCGAGTTGAGGGTCTGGGAAGGAAGAAGGAGGGGAAAAAAACCAGGGGGCTTGGTGGGGCCGAGGAAGAAGGGGAAAGGAAGGGGGAGAAGATGGAAGAGGGACAGGAGCCCAAGGGCGGAAAGAGGACTTGGCTGCGAGGCAAAGCAGCAGCTTCTAGAGCACCTGAAGAGTTGGAGGGGAGAGAAATTGGGGGGTGAGGGAGGAAAGGAAAGCAGTGCCAAAGCGAGAGCAGCACCCCCAAACTGTATCTTCCCCCCCAAATTGTTCCCTCCCCCCTTCCAGCAAGGCCTCCCTTGGAAACTCTGCCCTGAGGCTGCAGTTGCCCCACAGGGAGAAGGGGGATTTCTACCCCCCAGAAGCTCAAAAGCAGCAGGAAACCCCACCTGGTCACCCCAACTTTCCATTCACGGAAAAAAAAAACATTCTCACCTCATGAAGGCCAAAATGGATTGCTAATAGGTGCAGATTTTAGGGGAGATTTTGTAAGGGAGGGAAAGGGGGGAGGGAGGGATCCGGGTGAGACCAGAGGCCATGGGACCCTTGGGGGCAAAGCCAAACTGCTTGCCAGGGAGATGTGGGCAGTCAAAGGGGGGGGCGAGGGGGGCAGGAATGAAGCCACGCAGCCCCCATGGATCTTCCTGCTTGGCCCCAGCTGGGAGATTCCCCCTCTGGTCCCAGATTTGAGGCATCTGAGCAGGAATTGGCTTTGGACCCAGGACCAAATGGGGCTCACCGTCATTCCACAGAAATTCTCACTGCTGATTATCCCAAGATTTCTTAAGTTCAGCAGCACAATTAGGGCACCGAAACCATTCTTCCCAGGGGCTTGCAACATACCAGATTTACTCTAGATCTAAAACACTTTGTTTGCTTTCCACAGAACATCTACAGGAAGTTCTCCTCCTTCTGGGCTGATCCTGCACTTTTCTCCAGCAGCACTTTGGAAATCACCCTCCACGAGCAGAATCGCAGCATCCGCGAGTGGAAAAGAGCCACGGAGGTCATCCAGTCCACCCCTGCCCAGTGCAGGGACCCCAATGAAAGCCTCTTTCCTCCCAAGATGGCTCCAGCCTCTGCTTCAGCCTCTCCAGGGAAGGGGAGCCCCCAACTCTCTGGACGATGGGTTCCCTGGTCAAAC